GGAGGAAGGAAGGAAGGAAGGAAGGAAGGAAGGAAGGAAGGAAGGAAGGAAAATGTGTGAGCCAGAGGCTGAAAATCTGTGAGCTAGCTCACACTAACTCAGCTTAGAGGGAGCACTGGGAGGGAGGGAGGCAGGGAGGGAGGGAGGGAAGGAAATGTGTGAGCCAGAGGCTGAAAAACTGTGAGCTAGCTCACACTAACTCAGCTTAGAGGGAGCACAGGAAGGAAGGAAGGCTCCCTCTAAGCTCTGGAGTCTTGTGAGCAAAAATCCTACTTTGTGAGCTGCCGGCATTAAAGTTGTGAGCGAGCGATTTGGTAGCTGCATAAAGGAGCCTGCTCTGGAGCCCTCCTTCCTGAGTGAAGACAAAAAACGCGTGAGCCAGAGGCTAAAAAACTGTGAGCTGGCTCACGCTAACCCAGCTTAGAGGGTACACCGCCCAAGACCCACCATGGGGTTGGGGACTCACAGAGACGCCAGTATTTGCTGCCTCCTGGGACTGTGTGGTCAAGCTCCGGGCAGGTCACAACACAAAGCTGGGCGGGGGGGGGGGGGGTAGGGGCCCTGTGCCAACCAGCTGTGCACGGCCTGCTCCACTGCCTGGCTGCAGGCTTGGTCAATGGAAAGGCTCACTTTAAGGAGACGGCAGATATACACAGATCCCGCCAGAAATCCACAGTCTCCCCTGCTTTTTCTTTCCTGCTAAGGGCCAGGCAGAGAGATGCTGCTCCAGCACTTCCCTGGTAGCCAGTCTTGCACCGTGCCACCGAGCGCCAACCCACCTGCCTTCCTGCACACCCTGCTGTGCTCGGTGCCTCCCCCCCTGCATTGGGCAAACCAGGTGGGGCCAGTAGGCTTTTTTGAATCCCCTTAAAACCCAGGAGCCCCACAGGTTTTTTGTCATCTTCTAGAAGTGGAACAGAGGTCACTGGGAGTGTGTGTGTGGGGGGAGGTATTTGTGAATTTCCTGCCTTGTGCAGGGGGGTTGGAGTAGATGACCCTGGAGATCCGTGATTCTACGATTCTATGCTGATCAGAGGTGCCTGTGCCTCGGCCAGGTCAGTGCCAGGAAGACACGCGAGCCCACAGCCTTACCTCCTCCGACACCCGCTTGTCCATAGCCCCCAGCATGGAGTGCAAGGCACCTGGGGAAAGGAGAAAGGACAGACTGAGAGGCAGCACGGGGGGTGGACAGCAGACAGACAAAGGACCGGATAAGGATCTGCTGACCTGGGTTCCAATCCCCACTCTGCCACGAACTTGAGGCCATCCGTCCTCTTTCAGCCTAACCTACCTCGCAGGGCTCTTAGGAAGATTAAAATCAGGGAAGGGAGAATTATTGTCAGGCTCCTCAGTCAGGTCACACCGCGCAGGGCTTCGTAAGAAGATATCTGTTTATTAGTGGTCCTAGTACTAAAGAACACGTGTACAGACTGTGTCAGGAACAGCCTTCAGTATAAGGGCCTCTGACTTATAGTGAAATCAAACATTCCCCCTCACAAGCTGAAGCCAATGGATATAGTTCGTAGGAGCGGCAAAGCAAGCGGGCATAGCAGAGAAGCCGTTAACATTCCCAGCCGTGAAAACAGGAGCTGGAAACATCTGCAAGGTCAAGCGTAAGATAGCACACAGTAGCTGGGCAGGAAAAAGCTGAGAACGAGGCGGAGGATACCCCTCCACATTCCAGATCTATGACAGGGCTACCTAACATTTATGTGCCCGAGTAGCGGCAGGAATGGCACAGAGCGCCCTCCGAGTCTAGGAGTCAAGTTTTCATGGAGGAGGTAGCTGTCAGTGGCTACTAACAATGGTGGCAGGAGGGAGCCTCCATATATAGAAGTAGTCATCCTCTGGAACCCAGGGCCGGGGAGCAGGATCAGGCCTCGATGTCCTGTTTGTTGGCCCTCCAGGGCAAGTGGTTGGCTGCTCAGCTAAATGGACTGCTGGTCTGTCAACTTAGGCAGATCGCGAGAAGGGAAGGCAGGAAGGGTTGCAGCGTCAGTGCTTAGTTCTTGTGGCCCTTTCTTACACGTCCAGGGAAATGCCGATCGCCACCTTGGGAGTCAGGAAGCCATTTTCCCCCAGGCCAGTTCGGCTGGAGATCCTGGAGGTTTTTGGCCATCTTCTGGGCCATGGAACAGCAGTTCAATGAGGAAAGGTTAAAGCGCTTAGGGCTCTTTAGCTTGGAGAAACAACGACTGAGGGCTGACATGATTGAGGTTTATAAGATTATGCATGGGAAAGAGCAGGTAGAGAAAGAGGTACTTTTCTCCCTTTCTCACAATACAAGAACTCGTGGGCACTCCATGAAACTGCTGAGCGGTACTTCTTCACCCAAAGAGTGATTAACACATGGAATTCACTGCCACAGGAAGTGGTGG